ATGTTAAAGCATAAACAAACTTTTTTTGGGGGAAAAAAGGGATTTCATGGATTAATTTCTGACAATTCAAACAGCCTTGTTTGCGCCAAGAGGTTTTCACAGCACCATAAAATAAAATAAATCTAGTAGGATTTGTTTTGGTATAGAGAAGAACTGATTTGACTTCTGCTTAAAACATAAAGGGTACTTCTAAGTAATGGCAGCATGGTGGAGAACTTTAAAAAAAAAAAAAGGGAATTTATGTAGATTTATTAAACTCTCCAAGATTATGGATTATAGATAAAAACTAATAAATGTCAAATTAATAAAAATTAGAATATAACATTTAATCAATAAAAAAAGGATATTTTAAACAGAAATGTTTGGCTTTGTGGGAAAATCATTTCTATTTCCTAAGCACTTGCTTTGCCTGAATGATGGCCTTAGTGCAGCAGCGTGTGGTTCTGCTGAGGTGTGATGGAGGCCCGGGTCGCTTTGATAGCAGCCATCAGGTCATCTACATTATTGGCTCTGGTGTCTCTAAATGACCCCATAAATCCTTGTTAATTACGTTCAGGTCAGAGCAGTGAGCTGGCCAATGACCCACATTTAAAATATACACTCCTCACCTTTAGTTTCAGTTATTTTAAATGGAGTAAACATTTCCAGAAGCCTGTAGCTCAGAACGTTCTGCTCTTTATAGAGAAACACTAAGATAAACCAAGGTGCACCAATGAAACGCATGGCCACAGCACTATGCTGCTATCTTCTCACCAGTGGGTTTTCACAATCAGGGTGATGTGCACCGTTTTCTGGACAAACCTTTGCTAAGATGTTCAGTTTCAGTCTCATCTGATGAAGAGCTTGAAAGTTGTTCTGTCAGTAGATCTGCAGCTCCTCCAGAGTAACAGTAGGTCCATTGGCTGTTTATTCAATCTACGCCCTTCTTGATGGGTTGAATGTCTCTGTTGGTCCACACAGTGGTGAACAGCTCAAACGCTGCTTTAAGGAATCAGTGAAATCCTCAGATGTTTACACCGGGCTGAAGCATTAGAGTTGATGACATATTCTTCAACTAATTTGGTAATCGAATGAACTGGAATCCCCATTCTAAAACATTTAAGAACTCTGAGCACTATTAATACCTTAAATCTACAAAAATGTAAACTTTATAAGTATGATCTATAGAAAACTTAGGTGTTGTGCAGCTTTAGCCTGGTTTATATCCATAATTACATATGTATACCAATCTTTTTTTTTTTTTTTTTTAAGATAAAATGTTAAATGGAAACTTTCCATTCACCCTGTTATACTGCATAAAACGCCATTATTAATAGTTTAAGTGGTTCTTTACCACGTTTACACAAAAAAAATGTAAATGCAACTTTACTGAGTATTCCAATAAAGTTAAAAAACAATCAAATAGACTTTGTTTCCAGGTTTGAAGACGTTTCGCTTCCCATCCAGGAAGCTTTTTCAGTTCAAAATGTCAGAAATAGTGTTCATAGCAGTTTGAGGCTTTATAGCAGGCATTGCCAAAGTCGTTCCTCGAGGGCTGTGGTCCTGCAGGTTTTTGAGGTTTTCCTGCTCCATCACAGCTGATTTAAATTGAAAACTGATTAACAGGCTTTTGCTGAACTTCCATGATCATAATCAGCTGTGCTGAAGCAGAGAAACCTCTCAAACCTGCAGGACAGCGGCCCTCCAGGACCGACTATGGGGATGCTTGCTTTATCGAGTGGACCAAAAACAAAGCCTTGTTTTCGGGTAGAAAACATGCAAATTGAACCGGGGCTTTGTTTTTGTTCCACCCTATAAAGCCTCAAACTCAACGCTATTTCCGACATTTTGAATTGAAACGGCGTCCTGGATGGGAAGCGAAACGTCTTCAAATTTGGAAGCAAAGTCCAGTGGATTGTTTTTTTTTAAGTTTCTGGAAAGACTATGACCTGGATGACTGAGAATCTTCACCAGCTTTTTAATTAAGATTCATTTTTATTTCACACATCTGATATGATTCAACTTCAGCAGAACAGAGGAGAGAGAAGCCACTGAGCAGTTCCCGGGACAGATTGTCTCATAAAAAGATTTATTTTTTTCCAGCCCAAATTTACAAAGGCAAGTTACAGAGTATTGTATAAAAAAGAACCATGGTAATGTACACTTTACACAAACTCCTGAAGGGAAAGACAACAGAGGAGAGAGAGAAGAGTTCTGAATTTCTCACACAGAAAGAAAATGAAGACATTGTAAACATCCTTGCAAGCACCAACTGTGGTGCTTTTTGGAGAAGGGAGGGG